CATCATTCACTATGGTAAGATTTCTTGTTCTGATGATGCCTTATACCGGATCCCTTTGACACCTCGTGGTTGCATGTGTCTATAAAAATGTGTCCCAGAAGTTACTCCACAGAGTAAATATATCACGTTTTCTAGGATCACATCAGTAGAACACAGGAGAAAGTGGGCCAATGATTTCTAGGATGATTTCTAGAACGTTTGGATGATTCTGTCAATACTAGAAACATCCAGATAATCCTAGCAGTAGCCCAGAAGAGCTGGAGGCTTTCTGCGGAGCCCTGAGCTTGTAGAGAGGACTCTATAGGTCTCCAGAGTCCAGCTGAATTGTTACCTCAGAGATGACAAGGTGGATTTGAGAAAGAGGGATGATTCACATGGAAGAAACACTGCAGATTTCTGTGTGTTAAGGTCTAGGAGTCGGGCTTTACCATGGGCTTCTGGTACAGTGAGCTCCGTGTACACACTGGAGTCAACGGAGGGATCCTTAGACCCCTGTGAAGGGGGAACAATCTTTTCCTTTTTGAAAATCCGATGATTCAACACTGAATATGTCACCTCTTGTGAGTCTTCTGCTTCTGGGTCCTGGAAAGAGGCAAAGGTGTGCATAGGTATGAGGACTAGGAGGGAACAAGACTGTGTTAAAGAGGATGGGTTGAGGAAGACTTACCTCCCCGTTCACCATTTGGTCCACCTCAGGCTCTCTGTTCAATACAGTAGACTCTGTAGGGGACAGAAATTAGCCAACCATCTGAGAAGGAACATCTGGGTCCTCGTTTCATATGTACAGAAAGCAACAGAAAAAGCCGTGCCTCTGGGGCTATGCAGCTTCCTTACAGCAGAGTGAGAGATTCTCTCTCTCTCTAAGTTAAAACATCCAGCCCACTCAAGACTCCAAGACTCCAACTTTCCTTCCTATCGATTCTCTCTCTGCCTGTTTTTTTCATTACATGGCTCCCTCTCATCCATCTGTGGCTGCCCCAGATGTGAGAGAGATATGGGGGTGCATAGGCAAAGATGTGTGAGGTGAGGGAAAGGGTAGATGCACTGGCATGATCTCTAGAAAGTTCTATCTCTGTGACACCTACTTTGAGTCAGCTATCAACCAGTCAAAGGAGAACCCTCACCCCTGCACTCCCATCCCAGGTCCCTACTCTAACAGACTTTGAAAGACTTACGATTTTTGGCAGGGCACCAGCGATGAATGAGGGAAACAATGACGATGGCAAGGATGATGATGACCACTGAGGGTCCAATCAGCAAATGCATGTGTCTGTGGTTCCCTGGAGGATTATAGGAATCCAGTGATAGCAAATCATAGCAACTGTCATTTGTTGATTGCCTACTGGGGACCTGATAATGAGAAACAGCATCTCTCCTTTCACAACTCTCCTGAACTGAGCAGGTTAAATTATCCACGAGGAGAAAGAAAGGGAAATGAAGGCCAAAAGAAGGCGTCCCATGTCATAAGATAAAAAATGATGAAAAGACGTGTTGTGGATAGTGCGAGGGCTGAGCAGCATTGGACTGTTTTGCATGTAGGATCACTGTGGTAGTCACCTCATCTGGTGTCAATTGAAGGATTACGAGTGTGGGGGTGGAGTCTAGGCTGTCAATCTGGAGTTAGCCAATGAGACTTCTGTGGGCATGGCCTTCTCCTGAGAGTTCTGGGAAATCTGGGACTTCCTCCTTGGAGGCTGG